TATGTAAAATAAAAATTGTACTTAAAGCTACAACGTAATCCAACATCCAGCATTAATTATTTACTAACTACACAAAAAAAAACCGAAAGTTCACGTGGGTATAGATTGAACCATAAATTTCAAACGTTTTTCGTAATTTAAAAACGATATAATTTAATATAAGAAGTCATCTATTAAAAATATGTTTCAATATACCAAATTGCTTGATGTTAAGAATTCAGTTACAAATATTATACGCAATACTTGAATACATAAATCGAATCGAGAACAAATTAATTCTCAAATAATATTTACGTAAACTATCGTAATTCAACGCAAGTAGATGAACTAGCTCTATAGCTATTTAAAAATAAATACTGAGGATGATTTGAGTTAGTACCATAATTAATTTCTGTTCCTTTGCAATCGGTAAAAGTAAAATCGACACATTTCAAATTGGTTAAAACACATTGTTCGCAATTAAAATTCTTTCATTTCGATATTTTAAAATTATTGTGAGCAGTGTACTTTATTTCACTGTACACTTAAAAGTCAATAGAAGATAATATAGCTCATAGTTTAACGTACATAATATTTCTTGTACAAATACTTAAAAACTACATTTACTAAAATAGAAAAGTCGATAAGTAAGAAAAAATTAACAAATCTTCGTGAGCAATAAAAAGGAGACTATGTAATAAATTCGCATAATTTCCAAAATGTAATTTTATTCTAAATTTTTGGCGATCTTTCCAAGATACTTTTTCTTTTCATACTTATGGTAGTTTCTTCAATTAGCTTTTGAAATTTAACTCCCTTTTAAACACAATTTTTGTTCAGAAAAAAAAACATGTTAGAAGGGCAGATCAATTTAAAAGTTACTTGAGAAAACAATATATAAAGTTTTTATATAAATATCTACGCTTTCGTTCCATGCTTATAATAAGAGCTTTTTGCTAAACGTAAGGATTCTGCTTTAACAGCGTCTTCCATTGTAATAATAGGCTTTTGTGGACAGTATTTAACAGTATGTGCTTTATCACCAGATGCCTTGCAAATTGGGCAGACATAAGTGCGCAGCTTCGGACATAGTACTCGACCGAGGGAATCGCGAACTGCATGGCTCTTCACTACAGCTTCTGGTTCATGGTTGTTTTCACAGAAGACACAATGCTTTACCGCAGCCTGAAAAATATAATTCAGTTTTACTTAAACAAGAACTAGCCAATTTTTTAAGCGGTGATGGGCAAAACGCTGCGCGCTTTTTGAGCTTTTTGTGCTTTCAATGTACTACCCTCCTCACCTTTAGTTCATACACTTCACACTTCCAGTTCATACAATCCTGAAGTAGAAATATTTCAAACTATATGAACCATGATAAATAAATAAATATATATATATATGCTGTTTTTACCATGGTATGAACTAATGGGCAGGGTAGTATATAGTCTATTTCGAATTACACGCCAAAGATTAAATCTCTAACAGTTTTAACGCACGTTCCAGTCGTTATTTGGCTAAATAAAACATTAGGTTTGTTCGTCGAAAATCCAGCAAGAATTATCCAACACTCAAAATATCAGAGAGTAAGAAAAAATTCTCTCAAATTCTCTCTCATGTTGAGAAACTTGCAAATTTCTGCACGAATGCAAATTTGCAGGAATTTGCAAGTTTCGCTGCCAGCTGGCGTCCACGGTTGCATTTCAAACATAAAATTTTTTTATAGAATTTTTAAAATTCTTTCGGATGGCCAAAAACAGGATATACATGTATATTTCTTGTTGTTCTGACTTTCTTTAACATACATTTCAATTTCTTCATCGTATTAGCTGTCGGGTTTCTTAAATCGACTCTGGTTGCAATTGCATTCCGATTGCGAATACCATTTTTTTCAGCCGAATTAAGTTCAAATCATTGGAATTAACTAAATTAATTATATCAACAATTATTTACTTCCTTTTTTCATAAAAAAATCGCTCGTGTTTATAAATTTTTTAAATTTAACGAACTAATTTATTCAAATTATTGTAGACAAAAATGCAACCATGCGCCACAACCACATGTTTCGAGTTTACAAATTCTTGCTGGCAAAATTTTTTCCAGCAAGAATTTGCAACTTCTCTCCAAGAGAACTGTCACTTTGCTCTCACAATTTTTGAGTGTTGGATAATTTTTTTGGTCTGCACGAACGCGATTTGGGCAAAAATCGTGATAATTCGTACAAATTCGTACAAATTTTTTGCTCGACGAACAAACCTATTAACTTGCTTAAGCAAAACAAGAAAATGAATGATGTGTATTTTACTCACAATTTTGTCAAATTTTGTACACCCATAGCGTTTTTGCAGTTTCTTTATGTTTTGGCTGTTATATTCGATGTTCGCAGCAGCTGCTGCAACAGTTGCTGCATGGTGTTGGGCGGCTTGCGAACTAATCCCACTGCCCAAAAAAGGCGACGGAGTGTGAAAATGCAACTTCCACATGTTTTGATTTAAACAGTGCGGATTAAAAATAGCTGCGCTATTATGGTTGTTGGGAATAGTATTACCACTACCTGCGTTACTTGTTCCAACATTTATTATATTAGAATTCAAATTGCTTTCGACACCATTATTGTAGTTATTATTCGAACTATAATACTGGTCAATATGTGATGAAGTTTCCACCGAATCATTTCCGTGTCGATAGAGATTCGATTCATCTGTCACATATCCATTACAATAGAAGTCTTGCATTACATCATCCACCAAAGAATCCGTATCATGTTTAATAGGATCTATTAGAATCAAAAGACAGATACATATATATAACAATATACCATGATTAATTATTGAATCATGTGAATATGCTGCATTTTAATTTAATACGTTTTTCAACTTACATACTTCAACAACGATAGAAGTATTTATTTCATTAACTTGACCAGCTGGCCAAATTGTATATCTCCAATTGGCATATTCATTTTGGTTTGTATTTACAGATTTATAAAATCCAATTAGAGAATATGTAAATATGTACATATATACATAAATATGTACATACATATGTACATATAGATAGATTTATGTCGACAGACAGGCGCCATTGACGGCGCCAAGCGACTACTACCCGTTACAGAAAATATTTTACACTTTAATTAGCCCGAGGGTTGAAATTATTATATCACCTTGAAAGCCTCTTATGCATATTTTTTATATTTTATAATTACCATTTCTATACTTGCAAGCAGCCAACATTGCAAACATTTTTAGGGATTTTGATATCTCGTTTTTTTGTTGATTTTGGGCCAATGTGGCTTTAGTCGTTCTATATGGTTCTTTATGTTGGATATTAAAGTTTTCGTCGAATTTGCTAAATTCTTGAGACTGATATATATTTTTCTTTCCCATAAAACCTGAATGTAGTGCCATGTCTGTTACAGATATTCCGTTGCCAATATTAAAATATCCATAACTATGTGGTTGCGGCTGTGACATAGTTATAGGACTAGCGTTGCTGGGACTCGGCGTCGAAGAAAGCAATGGTAATGGAATTGAGTTTATCAAATTAGGCGAAAGTTGAAACATGGACGTTTCTAAAGACGAAGGTGAGATACTCTTTAATCCATCAAACGTGCTTGTAGTATCCAGATGCATTTCCTGCATGCACTTAACGTCAAGAGATCCAATTTCCAAGAACGAAGCAAAATGGTCCTTTTAGGGAGTATTTAGCAGTATTCATTAAGGTTATGTTATTGAATAAATAACGGGTATTTCACCTTCTCTTACCCTTTTAAGATCTGCATCATTGTGCGTGCGTAGCATGATTTTAACTCCAAAGCAGACTCTTGCACTAGATGCCCGTTATTTTTTTACTTTTCACTTCACTTCACTTGCTCAACCAAGAAATTAAAACATATTACCATTACGCACTTATAACTTGCAAGCACTTTTAATTTGCCTCTAGAATTTAGGTTTTAAGGGCAACCAAAGTTTCTCACTCCAATAAATTCTTTACTCAAAATACATATTCTGTTGATTCCACGAATTAAATGTTTGTTTTTGTATTTTCCAATTGAAGGCACATGCTAACGGTTTTTGTTATGTCGTACAGGGTGTTCGTAAATCAAAGAAATTGTTTATACGTACCAAGTGGCCTTTTATTTACTTCAACGTTTGGCATCTCTTATAGGGAATTTACATGAGGCGATTTTTAGTTGAAAGCAACAATCGCCTTCCACTAATCGCTTTCAATGAAGTTGGTCGGCTGCCTACTTTCGTTCAACTTTTGGTTCAACTAATCGCCTGTGAAAGGTGAATCATGTAAATTCCCTATTAGGGTTCCCATTCCCAATACCTGCAAACATGCAAACAACCGGCCGTCTTCATGTCCTTTTAACCGGCTGTCTTCACATGCTTGAGAATCTCGGACGCGTTCTCACCCCTATTCTGCAACACTTTTGTATTCGGGTTTTGTTACGAATCGTAGAAATGGTATGCTGCAGTCTGAAATTCGTAACAATGGCATACCTAAAAACGAACGAGTAAGAAATTGACAGCGTTTTTGCGTAATTCTGTACGAAAACCATTCTGCGTCGGAAGCGAAATAAAAATTAGTCAAAAAGATGTAAGTCGATGTGTGGTTGCAGGAAATATAAGTGGTGTTCTTTCAATCCGATCAATTTGCCTCTCGCATGTTCGTATATTTGTATCCACTGGTTTATTTGAACGAACTAAAAGATTTGTTGCCCTTTATAGAGAACCTTGGGTACGGTTGTTATTCGTACAAGGTTTTTCAGTTGCTGTGTCCAAACGCATGACCCGAACCTAAAAACTTTAACATACACGTGTAGTCAAAGGATTAAGCTTCCATTTAACACCCCTATTCTGCAATTCTTTCGTATTCGGATTTTGCTACGAATCGTAGAAATAGTATGCTGCAATCCGAATCGTATTTTCGAATTTTCGAAATTTGTAACAATGGCATGCCTAAAAACGAACGAGTAAGCTTTTTTTCGTAATTTTGTACGAAAAAAATTCTGTGTCGGAGGCGAAATAAAAGATGTAAATCGATGTGTCTTTGCAAGAAATATTGGTGATGTTCATTTAAACAGATAAGTTTGCCTTTGGCATATACGTATATTTTTATCCTCTGCTTTATATAAGCGAGCAAAAAGAATATTTGTTGCCCCTTATCGAAAAACTTGGAATCGGAATAGTTAATGTACAACCATTTCCGTTGTTGTGTCCAAACGCATAACCCGAATCCAAACACTTTAACATACACGTGTAATCAAAGGATTCACCTTTTATTTAAGATAAATGTTTCAAATTTTCTGCCACTAGCTTATTAATAAACTCGGTTTGTACTATGCACTTTTTTGCAAATTTTGACGTGGGTTCTGCGCAAAAATACTGTGGACGGCGTAGCCGGAGTGATATGACATGCGGAAGCCCCTCTTCCCCGCAACACAGTGAGGAGAATTCTACTTAGTAAGGGTTATAATCCCTAAGCGTGGCCGATGGCAGAAGCAAGCGCAACAGGTGGTGGACCTAACAAAGTGCATGTTTTCAATGGCTTGGAAGAAGCTGTTATTGCATTAACTGAATTGAGAACCAGTTCTTCAGGCATAGGAGTAGTTCTGGCTTGTGGTTCAACAATTTAACCAGAAGCTGACATATACGCGCCCATGGTTACTATGCCCGACAGCTCCGCATGTCTTTGTGAAATCATTCCCATAGCGTGCTCCTATTCCGTTGCAATAATTGCAAATGCAATAGAATCCATAGTTTCCTCCAAAATATGTAAAATCAAACAATTTTACTATAAATAAGCACTTCATGAGTGTTTTTTTAATTCCTTTCCCCTTTGTTTTCCTTCATTCAAGGTTGTAGCATGTGGATTTTTCGTAGCTTAGCTACGAATTACGAATTACGAAAATTCGGGTTCTACAATAAGGAGGAAAATTCATGTAAACTTTGGGTGTAAATTGAGATTTTGAAATAACACCCGTAATACAAAATACTTGCGATTGTAATTCAGAGCTGTAAAATGATTGAATCAGTAGGATTTGCATTCACTTGGCACTCGTTTCAAAATTTTGATCGTTTGGTTGTATAAAAAAAAACCTCATTCCTGAGTGGCTTAAATTATTTTGATACAAAAACTAATCTGTTATTGAATGGCGGAGTTCCATTCAGTATAGAATGTGAATGTAACAAAAGTATTCGCAATCATCGTGATTGTAAATTTTGGTTGAATGCAAACAGTTTTACTGCCATACCTAAACAAAAGCGTCAGCGTTGTCTGGCTGTCAAAAAATTCTCATGCCCATACAATTTGTATGAAGCATACCGAAACAACGCGGCGTCAACGCTGGGCGGTTGGAATATCCGATTTTGACAGGGCGTTAGGTATTGAAGTTGGCTGCAGAAAACGGCGAAACTGTCATTTTCATCTTACACACAAACAAACCTATACTAATTGTTGGTGTTATTTCCGCATTTGACGTAGCGTTGACGCTTTTGTTTAGGTATGGCACATCGGCGGTAACGCTAGGCGTCAGAAACCGCTTCGCCCAACGCTTTTGTTTAGGTATGGCAGTTAGTCATTCAGTACTACACTGAAAAAATATGCCTTGACACTAGAAGAAAATCTTTATAGGAGAAAATAGTCGTTTTACTTCTGCCTTTCTACTATTGCTACAATTTGGTAAAGACGGCCGGTCATAATGCGAACATCGGCTCTGCCTTCACTCTTGGGGCTTAAAATCTTTCAAGAAAAATTGAACAAATTTTAATTAACATTGGAAATTTTAAAATAATTAAGGAATGCATTTTCTGTAAAATATACGTACAAAATAAAAATATTTTCTTGCGTCATAATAAGCGTTCAGCACAAAAATTATGCAAATACTAACGCGATAAATATTGAACATGTAGCATTCGTACGTGGTCCATCAATCCATCAATATATCGTGATAATTACTGACCGTGAGACAGAGCCCTGTCGATCTTGGTTATAAGACTGTTATATACGTATGTTTATGTGTACGGGACCGAGTTGACAGCTAAAAATGTTTCCTTGACGACAGCGTTTTGAAAATAAAATTGACTATCAAGTTGCATACAGTCTACGATATATCTGTCAATTCAAATAAATTTCGACAAGCAGTATGTGTGATCAATTTGACTGCAAGTTCTCGATTGTGTAAACACACCGAACCCAAATTAAAAATGTCATATAGTGTGAGTCCGGCAGCGTTAACCTTTGACAGTTCTGATCAGTGTTGCCATTATGTATCACTTTTTTAGCTCCAGAAAGTTTAAGTTGTATTTGGTATATATAAGCCAAAACTTTAGCGTTGATAATTTGTAAAATTTCGAGATGCAGTGTATCCACCATAAACTCTTGGATCTAGGTTAAAGAATTCAAAAATTAATTAAAAGAAAAACCTTTTTCTGATAGCGCGGATTTTGTTTTACCTTACTAATTTTACCTTTAAGGAGAGCTTGAAGTAAACTTTCCAAAAAAATTTGGTTTTAAAACATTTTTTCAGCACTTAAACCTATAAAATTCGTTGTTTTTATTGAAATTGCCGAAAATGTAAAACCAACCTTACGTAAATAAAAGCTGTTCATTTTAGCTACTATTAGCTCTTATTTTCGATCGTTTTAGCTCCAAACGAAGGGTCTCTGGCAACACTGGTTCTGATCAGATTATTACGTCTGACACTTCAGCGGCATGATTTCTTCAAAATATTCCCTTCATTGGCAATAGCTCGAAATTACATAAATTCATTTGGACATTTATCAAATCATTACTTTCAATTCCATTAAAATTAATAGTTGCACGAAAATTAAAAACATGGTAAGCGAACACAATTTTGATATAAATATAATTGTTGGAATTAATCATGTAATACTTTTAACTCATGGTTGGTTATACTATTCCGGTGCTCGCTTATTTGTGTATATTTGCTTCCATTGAAGAACAAATTCTTGACGTCGCGCGGCACATGTAGCCGGCTTGTGCAAGGCTACAATTTTTGGAGAGGGCATTTAAATGAGGTAAGTTACTGTGTTTATTGCAGAATTTGAATTCTTATATGTAAGTTGCAGCGCTGGTATACGCAACCAAGTCGAAGGCCTGGGTTTTTCTCGAAGTTCATCGACAATTTAAAGTCTGAAATGGATAAAAATAAGGAAATGAAGGAAAATATAAAAAAATTCCGAGAAGAAGCACATAAGTTGGAGCAGTCTGAAGCCCTTCAATCCGCCAGACAAAAATTTAACATTGTCGAGTCTGAAGCACAAAAGTCTTCGAATATTTTAAAAGAACAATTAGGAAGCATAAAGGACAAAGTCAGTGATGCAATTGACGAAGCAAGTAAATCCGATATTGCAAAGAGAGCATCCAAATTTTCTGAAGGTATTTCGAAGACAGCTAAAGGTGTAACAGATACCATAACCGAAAAAGGTGAAAAAATTGGGCAGACAACTGCTTTTCAAGCTATATCATCTACAACGGAGATGATTAAACAGGAAATGGGATCTCAGAGCATAAATTCTAGAGTTTATCGTTCTCCTCTAAAACTACGAAGACGCGTTGAGGTAGAACATGGGAACGACGACCGTGTAGTCGAGCCTAATGTAGATGCCACAGGTAAGAATAGAGTTAAACATTTTTTGTGCACATTATAAAATTGCAAAACCATGAAGTATGTTTATACATACTTTGTGCAGCTTGTATGTAACATGTATTATGCTTACGGTGACTATTCGTACCGATTTTGGCGGGACAGTATCGACTTTGAGAAAATTGTTCCCCTGAATTTTTCATATTTCTTTCTTAGTGCAACAATTGTCTTCCTGTACTCTGGCCCAAAAACAATTTTTCATACAAGCGTGGCAGCACTTTCGTTATCACACATACAGGCCAATTCTTAATACTCCCGGGAAGTTTGTTCTCCGGCAATTTGTTTCGCTCGAGAAATAAATCCCTCAATAATTAACTTCCAGGAGTAACATTTTCCCCGAAAACTTGGGAGGAGGAAATTCGAATTTCGAAAAAGGGTTTGTCACTTTTTTGAGAGCCAACTCCTCCATTATTTAATATAAAGGATCCTGGTGGAATTTTTATTCATGATAGGCGGAAAGGAAAAAGAGAGAAAACCCCCGGGGAGTTTCTGTTCAGAATCGGCCTGATAGAATATAGGGGAGCCACATTTCACTTTTGGGTTCCATGTTTCAGGTGAATTTTTTTTTTCCCGGAAACTCGGGATCACGGTTAGAACCATGATAAAAAAGAAGGTAATTTCTTTACTAAAATTTTTTGATTAGAAAGCAGATTTTTGACATTTATGCAGATATAAACATTAAGCATAGCTGTGCCACACCGGAATTTTTTGAGAGCGGATATTTTTCATGATATAATTGGGATTGCATACAAAATTAATATTTGCATACAAAAAATTACAAGTTGAAAACGGTTTGGGAATCAATAAAAAATACATGTATTTATTAAAAAGCTTTAGATGTTAACAAATATTGGTTTTTCTAACTCAATTACAGTGCCGGACAAAAGTATTGGCACCAGGGTACGAAAATAAACTATATTGTACGTTACTATTTCGTTTCGTTTAATACTTCAACAGTTCGGTACAATAATAAAACAAAACGGCTGAGTTTACTTTGGCGATAGTGCACTGCAGTAGTTTAGTAGTTACTAAGGCATCTTATACCGGCACTCGGGATCCCGACTCCCGGGAGTCCCGAGACGTTTTTGAACTCACGAAATCCCGCGATCAAGCCCTCGGGATCCCGGGATAGAATTTAATTTACTACCAAACTAAAATAAAACGACATTCAGACGCTGTAATGGCATACAAGAATAATAAAATGCAACCCTACAAATAATCAAATAATAGCCGTCATCGATTCGCCACTCCTCGCTCGCTATGTTTGAGTTCCGGTCGCTTAAAGAAGAATTTTGCATGTGAAAGCAACAACAAAGTTAGCTAGCACGGATAGACGATAGCGAGTTTGGTTATACCTCATTGAGTTCGTTCGTTTCCCCACTCGCTAACTGTTGGCGAATCGATGACGGCTAATATATTACAATTCTAATACTACTATTATTCGGACACCAAATTTGGTGTCACAATTTCAATTGGCTTCATATTTTTCCTTTTTTCTTCGGATATACATACATATGATCTGTCAAATTTTGGATTTTTTCGTGATTCTGACTAAATACTTCTTCAAATTTTTATATCTCTGGTTCTGTTCATCGCACAGTGGCCAATTTTTCGAAAAAGCGAAGTCGAAGCGTGGTACAATTGTAATCAAACCTTGTGTATTCGTCTTTATTTTGGTTTTAAATTTCACCACATAATTTCGAAATTCAAAATGGCGGATCCATAATGGCTACTGTGTACGCTTAAAATAATCAGATTTTTAGCAAAACTGAGGTAGTTAATCATCATCACATCAAAAAATAAGAAACAAACAAGTTTTTTGTAATAAAGTCGCCCTTTGGCAGGCAATGGCAAATCCCCGAGTGTAACGAAGAACAGCTTCTCATAAAAATAAAATCCCCGTTCGGATTCGGCGTAAAACTGTTGGTTGTTGTTGTTGGTCTCTCCCCTTTGTGCGCCAACATCAAGGCGCACGCCACAAATCGGAAGAGAAGCTCGGACAAACACTAACGAGGTCTTAATGTTTGTTTCTAAAAATCTTGATGTTCAAATTTACACGGGAACTGCGGGATTTTGAATGAATCAATAAACAAGACATACATATTTGTTGGTACAGGAATATATTTTTAAGATAACAATTTTATACACCGTCAGACTCGCAGTCATCTGAAGTATCCAAGCTTCTATATATATTTACTGATGGCAAATCCGCATCCGCATTTACAACAGTTGATAATGATTTAATGGCATCTGACGACAGTTTATGATTTTTTTTGGTGGGTTTAAACGTAAACTTGAAATGACAGGGGCCGAGGATACAAGCAGCCGATATTTTTTAATACATATCCTTATTCCTTGACTCTTGGGTTTCCTCGGAAAGTTACCCAATTGCCAGGGGTGCCCATTCAATAATGAGAGGCCCATGGATGAGCACTCTAATATAGTAGTACTTTCTGACATCCAATCTTTAAAACATCAAAATCTTGACAGAAATATTTTTTTACATAATTTAAATCAAGGCGAATTCATATAAGGTGGTATCGATTCAACAAATACAACAATTACTTGTATTTTGTTTTTGCTTTTAGCTGGTGATTGTCAAATTTCAGCTATTCTTCTCCGAATGAAAAAGGGCGACAGAAAATGCAAACACTCTCACGTTTTCACTCACTCACTAGCAAAATATAAAATTTTGACAATCAAACGCTACACACAGCTGATTAAACAACACCACCTTATATAAATTCGCCTTGATTTAAATCTTTTAAACAAAAAAATTAAGAATCGCGTATAAAAACTGATGTCCAAACTACAGTGGCGGCTTGTGGCAGGTGGTTTTAGCCAAGGTGGATGAGAAAAACTTTAGTATATATGAAAAAGAAAATTAGACCGCTAATCTTGACCTTTCTCGTAACTATTTTCCTAATCCATAATATAATGAGTAAACAAAAAAAATCAATCCGTGAATATAGAGTAGAGCCCTCCTAACAATATAAGATGGTTATGCATACGAATGCACCAATTTTTTTTTAGTTTTGGCCAGGGTTTTCCACAAATTGGCCACTGTGCATCGTAGACTCTTCATTGTTGACTCCCATAAAAGAAACCACCTCGTCATAAAAAAAAAATAAATAGTTCTTAAAAAACTCCCAATTTTTGAAACATGTAATGTGTAATTTTAAATCCCAAATTTACTGGTCTTTACTATGCAAATCAACTTAAAAAAGTTCAACTGTTAAAATGACTTCGACTGCAATATGAATAAATTAAAAATTTTTAGTTTTTAGTTTATTCAGTTTGTAACTAGCTTTTTAAACTGATATAAAATAAAGATATTTATATTTATTTTCTTAAAAACACAAATTTATTTTTATTTCTAGTATTCGCACTAAAGAAAGACTGCAAAACTAGTTTGTTAGCATATTTTAATTAATGGTAATTATATCCCGAAATATCCCGGGATCCCAGGATTACCAATTTAAGATCCCGAAACCCCGGGATTCACAAAATGGTCCGGGATTGGATGCCTTAGTAGTTACAGGCGAAACAACAAACGAAATTAATCATTCAGAGAAAAATATATGTATATATGTACACATATACAATAACTAAACACAAAACGAATGGCTGCATGGAATAAAAAAAAAAATGTTTTTTAATTGATGTTTTTTAATTGAATTGGATATGAAAATTTACAGAAAAAAATATTTTTCACATAATTGAAATGTTTGCATACATATAAAACGTACCCTATGGTACAATTGTCACAAACGAAAATCAAACGTTTCTCGTTGGAGAAAATGACAGTGAATCTTACAATTTGTTTCTGACTATGTACAAAACTGTACAAAACCACAAATGATATGATGATCGATGAGCAAATGGGAATTGTTTTGTACAGTTTATTTTCGTACTCTGATTGGCACAGAGAATTTTTCGCAATCTCTGCAAAGTTTTTTATTCTACTTTATTTTCGATAATTTTTTATAAAAATATAGTTCGTCCTACACCAAAAAACACAAAAACTAAATCTCAAAATTTTGAGTAAAACTCAATAAATTTGCATACTAGTTTGCAACTTTCTATTCAGATAAAAAAAAAAAAATCTAAATACATATGCAGTTTTATAGCCCATCTAATTTTTATATAACAACCCAGTAGATAATTTCAGTAGTTAAAAGCCCTTCCGAAAGGCCTTCCTGATAGTCAAGAGGCCTTCCACTCTACATTTCTTTCTCTTTTCTTTTTTGTATGGAGTGGCACAAATTGAAGGGCTTATTTCGCTACCCATGGAAGGCCTTCCAGAACGGCTTTTATAGAACGTACTTCAGAAGGCCTTTTGCAGGAGTTCTTTTAAAGTTGCTTCTTTAGTTTATAAAAATCATACATTTTTGAAGTACTTCCTTAAGGTTTATATCAAATATGTTTTATTGCAGCTTAAAATGTTTATTGAAATTAATTTGTAATGCTAAATAATATTAAAATAAATTTATGCATTCGCGCAAATTGTAAATGGGTTAGCCCTTCTAGAAGGAATGCAAGGAAGCACTTTTTTCAGCCCTTCTTGGGTAGGCCTCTTAGAATGGCTTTACTTAAGAAGGCCTACGCAAATTATCTTCTGGGAAAGTGCAAGCTTGGAATTGCTTAAAAATCGTGGTGATTTTTGGCAATTTTTTTCACTCAGATTCTTCCATACAAAGTATGTACATATGTTCGACAATTATTTTTTGTATGGAGAAAATGAGCGACACCTTCCACTAAAAAAATTTCCAAAAGTCAACGCGATTTTTTAGATACTTCAAACTTATATTTATTTAAAATATAAACAAGATAAATAAAATACATATGCGCCTTTATGGAATTGGAAATTAGTAAAACTTCTCGCAAAATTGCGATACGATCATTCTTCTGTATTACCCCTGCAAACCATTTTTTCAGAGTATTGTGAATTGTAATTTAAAATAATTCGTAAAGATCTCATCCGATTTTTTTCGGAATCTCCTAAAATAAAATAAACTGTGCACACTTCGATTCTTTAACGAAATTTCGGAAGAAAATCGATAGGCAATGAAAATAGTGCAGCTATATGAAAAATTTCTTGCATATTTTTTTCAGAATTTTTTTATTTTTCGTACAGAAATTTCTTTATCGTTGATCAAGAATTTCTACAATTTAGCTTAAAGGCATCCACACACCTATGCGCTTCTGTCGGTGAGAATCTGTTCCGACAAAAATTACAACAATGCCGTTCGTAGTTTTAAATGAGGAACCTCACACTAGGGCGATTTTGCTGCAGCGATTTATTCGAACATTCACATTTCTTCTTTTCGTCTCGCCAAAAATTGTAGACCCACTCGTTCGCAGAACTAAAAAGATTAATAGACCGGCGTTGTAAAATTTAAAGAAAAATTAACGTAAGAGAACAAAACATGTTCAGCACACTCAGCTACCTTGAAAGTATCAGATAACACCTCGAAAAAATTTGCAAAGTCCGAAAATTTAAAGCGGTACGTTTTTTAAATACAGGCATCAGCCACGCATCTAGATTCAGGTTCAATAATTTGCCGATATCTCGAGAAGTAATGCACGCAAAATCCTCTGCGATGACTCATTTTGTTCGCTAAGGTTATGGCTATATGTATCATCATTGACGTAAAATCAAATAAATTTTTTCCAAGAAATAATCACATTTTAAAGTTCAATTTCGGGTTTTTTTCTCGTTTTTTTTTATTATTTATTCGTATTATCTAAAAAGGTAAGAGCCGGATCGAAAAAATAACTCTCCTAGTGCATTCAGCGGCCTCGAAAGCATATTATAAGATCTTACAAAACTTAAATTTCCAGAGGAATTTCGCGTGCGCACGGATTGAAGGTCGAGTAATTTTAAGCAAAACAAAAATAGACTTGAGCGACCTCTAAATTTTATTATTTTTTTAAAATCAAGTTATGTACTTTCATTTTTTTCATTAAAAAAAGGATTTCGTGGACCACTCTACTCTGTAGCATCAAAAACGGTGCGGATTCGCTCCGACGGAATCGCACAGATGTGTGGATACCTTAATAGTCCATGAAAATTCCACACTACCTCAACTTCAAGGCCCAACATCTCAAGAAATATCGATGTTAGCGATTTGGTGTTGCAAATTGAATGTACAAGTACGTCATTTATATTTTTGAGATAGGAGCAAAAAATGCTGGTGGGAGTAAGGATTACACCGCAGTGAACACTTTTGTTTTGTGGAGCATTCAATTCTGAAGAGAACCCATCATTGACCAAGATTATACCATAAAATTCCTCTGAGTTGTAGACTTTTGAAGAAAAATACTCAAAGTTTAAGTGTATTTTATATTGGAAATCTTTGCACGCCTTGAGCGAGTACTTAATGTTAATATTAAGGGTTCAAATTTTCAGGGTGTTTTTTTTAGGCGTTTTCCACTAAATTTCGAGGTAGGAGTGACAAAAAAAACACCCCAATATTCATACAAGTATTTGAATTAAGATTAACTTAATTTTGACCAATAACATTCAGAACTTCTAACTTTAAGCAATTTTTAATCCTTCCAGGTGTGGAACTACACAAGGATTCGAAATTCTACCAATCGTGGGAAAATTTTAAGAATAACAACGCATATGTTAATAAAGTGCTTGACTGGAAACTTAAATATGATGAGTCAGAAAATCCTGTTATACGCGCCTCTCGCCTTTTGACCGATAAAGTTTCAGACGTTATGGGTGGACTTTTTTCGAAAACAGAGCTTTCTGAAACGCTCACTGAACTTTGTAAAATTGATCCCAATTTCGATCAAAAACAGTTTCTTCGTGATTGTGAGACTGACATAATACCGAACATCCTAGAAGCGATGGTTCGTGGAAATTTAGACATTCTGAAAGATTGGTGCTTCGAAAGCACATACAATATTATAGCAACACCAATAAGCCAAGCAATAAAAGCTGGTATGTACTTGGATTCAAAGATCCTGGATATCGAAAATATAGACTTGGCAATGGGCAAAGTTATGGAGCAGGGTCCGGTGTTGATAGTAACCTTCCAGGCTCAACAGATTATGTGCGTTCGTGACCGTTATCACCAAATAGTGGAAGGTGATCCTGATAAAGTCATGCGCGTGAATTATGTGTGGGTTCTATGCCGAGACCCAAACGAGTTAAATCCAAAGGCAGCTTGGCGGCTTATGGAGCTGTCCGCAAACAGTCAAGAACAATTTGTATAATAAACTTTTACATGTTAGCTTTTAACATTTTCACACTTTAATGCCAACATGTCACGAATTGTTTCTAGGTAATTACATAATTGTTTCCTATATATGTAGATACGCATATGTACATACATACATATATTAGATGGAAATAATTTTCGGTTTTCGCTAGCGAATTTTCCAAAAACATTAAAGCATGAAGAGGTAGGTTGTAGCAATAATTTCTTGTTACGTTGGGCAAATTAAGTTAAGTTATTAACCACTTTGTATATAACTAGTTTAAATTAATAAAAAATAGTATAGTATTTCGATTATAAAAAATTTCGGCACCGTTTTAAATAACTTTTTTGCATAACTTTTAAATCATGTCCGAGACCTCTTTATCGCATATTTACGAATAATGGGTTTGTTTTTTTTTTTTTAATTTTCGGGCTAGTTTCGGGCAAATGACTGGAAGAATGAAATGCTCTTACAAAAGTGAGTAAACTGCCCAAAACCACGAGAACGTAAAACCAGGGACCGAAAATAATCGTTATCATGAAGGATTTTTATTTAAAAATCATTGTATAATCGTTATTTTATGATTTATATTTTTTCAATCAAAAATAATCGTTATTCTTTGATTTTTATTTTTTCAATAATTTTTAATCGTTATTTTATGATTTTTATATTTTCGATCAAAAAAAATAGTTATTTTATGATTTTTATTTTTTCGATCATTTTTAATCGTTATTTCGTGATTTTTATTTTTTCGATCATCTTTAATCGTTATGTTATGATTTTTATTTTTTCGATCATCTTTAATCGTTACTTTATGATTTTTATTTTTTTGATCATTTTTAATCGTTATACTATGATTTTTATTTTTTCGATCAAAAATAGAAGTTATTCTTAGTTTTTTAATGTGTAAACTGAATGTGCACAGATTTGACTTAAAAAAAGTTTTACAAGGCATGCATATGTACACTAGGATGGTCCAAAAACAGTAAAGTCGGAATTGTAATGCTCTCACCCCCTAGGATTGTTCTATATCGAAAAAAGTATACCCCTACTTTTATACTTTTCATGAGCATGAAATGGTATTATAATTAATACGATTAAAAATGATCGAAAAAATAGAAATCACAAAATAACGATTAAAAATTATCGAAAAAATAAAAATCATAATATAACGATTAAAGATGATCGAAAAAATAAAAATCTCAAAATACGGTTAAAAATGATCGAAAAAATAAAAATTATAAAATAACGATTAAAAATTATCGAAAAAATAAAAATCATAAAGTAACGATTAAAAATTATCGAAAAAATAAAAATCATAGTATAACGATTAAAAATGATCGAAAAAAAAATCAAAAAATTACGATTAAAAATGATCGAAAAATACAAATCACAACATAACGATTAAATTTTGATTTTTATTATAAAAATCATAACGGTTACGGTCCCTGCGTAAAACACATATTTTGTGCCCGAAACTAAACGTCAAATCTCACAAAATTATAAATTTAAGATTTGAAACTCGCCCGGGAAAATAGGCTGGGCGATCTCGGGCTAATGAAAAACTAAATTTGCTCTCTCAAAGTGCCACTCAACAGCTCGAGAACCAACCAAAGAAACATAAAATGGGCACTTTCGTGCAGCAAAAAAAAAACAAACGTAATCAGCCTCATTGCTTAAGTCGTAAATTAGGCTAAGGGCCGGTTGCTCAAAGCCTGGTTGACACTAATCCCCGCTTAAACATCGTTATCGACATTACCGACACCGTGGTATATGCATGAAGTCGAAAAGGTCGATAACGATGTTAACCGAGGATTAGTGTCAACCAGGCTTTGAGCAAACCGGCCCTAAATTGTACGCCTCGACAACATCTGCATTGTCGACTGTCGTGCTGAAATAAGTAAACAACGAAATTCGGTGAAAACTATGCAGTGCTGCCAAGTTTTTCTGTTTTAATACACTAGTCGAGTGGAAATTTTAGGCAATGACGTGAAATTTTCGATAGGATTCGACTCTCTAAAAACGATTTGCATTCGACACGACTCTCGCAATGAGGCTGAATATCAAATAGACTCCATTACTGTACATCAGCATTTTTGCAACATATTAAGAATGAAGACTGAGCAATTTAGTAGACAAGAAGTCTGAGCCTTCATGGCAATACCTCCGACAACGCAGAGAGGCCAGAGTAACAAAGATCTTGAAACATTCATCATAAAAATATTTGTGTAGTCTATCCAGAAGACGCTTTTAATCTAACACTCACCGTTCGCATGAAAAATGCAAGAAACGGGCCTTCGTGGCCTTTGACCTTGAACATTTTTTTTTTAATCAGGATCGGTGGGCAACTTTGATATTTTAATTGTAATACCGAAAACCTGTACACATTTTGTAACGAAGCATTTTAGCGGCCCCGTTGTTTCTACAGTGCTGGGGCATACTCGCCGTGTCTGCAATAAGTTTATAGTTTCGTGGCCTCTTACAAATCGTACTTTATTTCGTCATTTAGTGTTTTCTTAACTATTACAAAAGCGTATAACTTTTGTCACTGCTTTTATAAAGAAGCAAAAAAAAATATTTGAAGCCCCTTATCGAGAAACTTGGGTCCGGTTTAGTTATTTTTACAATGATTTTCGGTTGTTGTGTACAAACGCATAACCCGAATCCAAATACTTTAACATACACGTGTAATCAAAGGATTCATATTTTATTTAAGATAAATGTTTCAAATTTCCTACCACTAGCTTATTAATAAATTCGGCACTTTTGCTAATTTCGATGTGGGTTCTGCGCAAAAATACTGTGGATGACGTAGCCGGAGTGATAAGCACAAGAAATGTTGTATAGCATCGACATGCGGAAGCCCCTCTTCTCCGGCAACACAGAAAGGCGAATTCTACTTAGTAAGGGTTATAATCCCTAAGCGCGGCCGAAGGCAGAATCAAGCGCAATAGGTGGTGGACCTAACAAAGTGCGTGTTTGCAATGGCTTGGAATAAGCTGTTATTGCATTAACAGGATTGGGAACCAGTCCTTCCGGCATAGGAGGAGTTTTGGTTTGTGGTTCAACATTTCAACCAGAAGCTGACATAGATGCGCCCATGGTTACTATGACCGACAGCTCCACATGTCTTTGTGAAATCATTCCCATAGCGTGCTCCTATTCCGTTGCAATAATTGCAAATGCAATAGAATCCATAGTTTCCTCCAAAATATGTAAAATCAAACAATTTTACTATAAATAAGCACTTCATGAGTGTTTTTTTTAATTCCTTTCCACTTTGTTTTCCTTCATTCAGCTATCTTCGAAAAACAACTGATAGCTGGCAATGCTGCACATGTTTCCGCAAGGGTTGCAGCATGTGGATTTTTCGTAGCTTATCTACGAATTACGAATTACGAAAATTCGGGTTCTAGAATAACTCTTTCCAGCCTGTACACGTATACATTTAAATTCGGTATATTCAATGACAGGGACACTAACTTCCTCGATCGATGAATGCACCGCAAAAAGAACACCACCGCCGATTCTGCCCTCGCGGTCACTCCTGTATATTTGATATTCATTTGGAAGAATTTCGGAATTAAAAATATGAGGTTTGGGCCATGTTTCGGATGAAGGAAATAATATTATAATTGCAGTCAAAACCTTTTAAATATGTGTCAGTTAATTTGGTATTCAAACCTCCAACGTTTTGATAGTAAATTTAATTAGACTAGCGAGTTGGCTTTTGAAACCGAATTAAGATTAGAAAATTTCGCTATTAGGTTTATTAGGTTATACTCATCATTTTCAAGAATTGACACATGTATTAACAGGGTTGCATCGGAATAAATTCTGTTTGAAAATGTGTTCGATCGACTCATTTCTTGTGTTGCATATAAACACTTGCATTTCAAGCGAGCTACGCTGACACGAGTTAATTCGATACCCCCGTTCTCTCAATTCGTCGGCCGTGATTTTTTTTTTAAGTTTGCCAACATTTTAAAATCACATAAAATTGAGAGTAAAACAAATGAATTCTTCAAAGTTGTTGTTGTTTGAGATTGAAAATGAGAATGTGTTGTGAGTTTGTGTTTAAAATTTTAAAATTAAATTACTTGTAAACGTCAAGAATTTGAAAAATTCCTCCCAGCGGTTCTACCCAAGGTGTATTAGGCATTCAGTAAGCGGTCTCTAGTCACTAATAGTAACTTTTGGGTGATGAACTTGGATTTGGAGACTATTTGGCATTCAGTACGCTGTGTAACGTCTCTAGTCTAAAAAAAAAGTCACTAATTTGTCAGCTGGCTAAGAGCAGGTCTCAAAACTAAAAATATGGAGAAAAAGTTAGTTGCTTTCCATTTTATTAAAAAAACGCGAATACGAAGCGAGGAAATTTGTTCAATAAGAATTTCGTTAGGAAATAAACCAAAATGCTCTAATATACAAGTCCATTGAAAAAAAAATATATATAAAAAAAATATATATTTTTTTACATTAAAATGTAATGATTATTAAAAAAATTTAACTAATAAAAAAAAAGAAAAAAATACTAAATAAAAAAAATAAAAAATCCTCTACGCCCGAGGAGTACTCGAACCTGTACCCTCTCGACCGGCAGCCTAATGCTTTGACCACTCGGCCATTGCGACTCTTCGGGCGGCGAGGCAAAGGCATACATAAACACTGTCAGTTGACTGTCTGTGTTTGTTTTCACCACATATTTTTGGTGAACTTTTTGTGACTATCCTACTGAATAGTCTAATTGCTAATCTCAAATTTAGTAACTTGAGATGAGACTGAATTACGGAATCCCAGGGTTAATCGCTAGAAAATCATTACGAGGAGGTAGAAGACGGTGCAAAAAAACCGAGAAACATCAAAAACGCTACAAAAGCTTTTTTCTGAAAATCGATTACAAATAAAAATAAAATGGCTGATTAGGTGATCTTTAGTCGTTGGTTCATGTATGCATATCATTTATAATAAGAATAAATAAAGAAAATGTGAAAAAGCTGTGGTTTTAGTACATTTAAAGTTTTTGGGGCGTCAATTGAGAATTGTCAAAATCGAC